ATCTTTAGCAGAAATGTAGTTAAAGTGCTCATTCTTTTTCGATACAAGAGAGCGAATATAACCAGAATCGTTGACCATTTTTATGTCCAGTTATTTAAAACCTATCTAGAAAAGTTTTTTTTAGCTTCCGTTAGAACCTATTCTTAGTTGTACAGTTTTTTGTCGTTGAGGTTTTAGCTAGTATGCTCTGATACAAGCGTGAGCATGATTTATGGGTAGCCCGTCATATCTCACTTCCCCTTCGTGTTTCGCAAAAATGCTTTACACATTCGTGATCAACTCGAGGAGATCTACATCATGACATATATCTCATCCCGAAACGTGGGGGGAATTTCGTGACCTTGCCTTGTTAGATGGAATATGGAAAATTATTTTTGATTTATTTAACTTTGAGTTATTTGTGACATGATAAAATGCACGCATGTTGCATATTCTAGTTGTGGTGTATAATAATCACAGATGTTTACTTTTCGTAATCGCATTACTACTATGATTATGTTTACACATGACGTTACATTTTTTTTGGTGCTTAATTTGTGATTGTTTTTATATGAAAAGGAGTGAAATATTTGTGAATGAAGAAAAGCCTTAGAGATGCATTTTTTGATGAAAATTAGATTTGTTTGATAACAGACTTCTCATAATAGGGGTGATCAGACTGGAAATCATCGAGCCGGCGTTAACGGTGAAGTAGAATACTGAGAAGAAGATCGAGATCATGTGGTGATGGTTCGGGTTGAACTGATCACCGGCGAATGCAGCAACGCATGGCTTGATTCCACCTGTTCCAATGCCAATTACCACTAAACCGATGATGTCGAGATATCTGAACACGTCAAACACTCAACAATTGCCAAAATTATTTCAATGTTACAGCACTTTCAGTCTGAACATTCAACTTCATGGAAACTTGAACTCAAAATGGTTCGAAATTTTTTTCACTTCAGCAATGAGTCAAAATATGTATTTCCCGGACTTCAAGCATATTAACTTACTATTTTCAATAGAACTAAAGCGGAAGACTTACGGATGGACATTATCACTTTTGGAGAACGTCGAAGCAACTGCTAGGATGACATTACCAGCCGCATAAACAAGCGATATCCATAAAATCGTCCTAAAAATTTCAGTTATCAATTAGAAATCGCAAGATTAAAATGGATACTTCATGGGAGTGTTTTAGACTGAGGAAGAGGAATCGTGACAAAATTCACNTTACCAGCCGCATAAACAAGCGATATCCATAAAATCGTCCTAAAAATTTCAATTATCAATTAGAAATCGCAAGATCAAAAGCAATTCGGTGGATACTTCGTGGGAGTGTTTTAGACTGAGGAAGAGGAATCGTGACAAAATTCACCAGAATTTTCCGATGTAACTGTCGGCAATGATCGATCCGAGTAGAGGTGTGGTATAGCACAGGACAATGAAGCTGTGGAAGAGAATCGTCGCGTTGTCATCCGAAAAAGCCAAAATATTCATCACGTAGAGTGTCAGAACGGCTGAAATTAGCGATAAAGTCAGTTCTTCGAGATATTTAAGGTGCATCGTTAACGAGTTGGAGAGATTGCAGTCATCATGAGCTTGTGAGAGAGCATGAATTTTTTCACTTATCGAAAATTTTCAATAGGAACCAAATCTAAGGTAGTGAGCAATTCATCGAATATCAAAGGCTTGATTCGATTTTCATAAGATGTTTTCGTAAGATATTTCCATTTTTTATTTTTTTAGTATTTCATAAAATAATTGTTATTGTTAATTTTCTTTATATTTCATAAGATAGTTTTTCATTTATAAGATATTTTCATATTTTCATTTTCACAAGATGTTTAGTTTCGATTTCATTTGTTTCATTTGATCATAAGAGATGTTTGATCAATTAAGTGATAATTTTCAACGTACTTCTCATTCCGACGAATGAAAAACGTTCGCAAAATTCGTTACCAACAATGCAAAATGTTGACAGAGGCCATCTTTTGAGGATTCCCCAAGTGGTCTGAAATCCTTTTCGAGAATCAAAAATGAGCGAATAACTGCAGTAATTTCAGATCTAATCACGACAATTTTAGTTCACTTATTATAATTTTCAATCAATTCCAGAATTATCTCAACAGTTGATTGTTTAGTTGGTAAAACGACTCTGAAGAATGTTCTGAGTTCAGAATGTCGTGAAATCTTACCGTTGGTTCGGGGTCATTGTCAGTGGGCGACGCCTCAACATCTGAAGGATTACTGCATAAATTTCAGTATGTTTTTCATGTAGAAGTCTTCTTTTCGGTACAACTCCCAAGGATGTTTAGATGAGAAAGGGTACTTCGGAAGGAGAGGAGAAATTGGCATGTGCTTAGGTGACAATCAGATTGTTTTTTGAAGCAAAGTAGTTGAGCATCTATCCAGTTTCGACTCCCTTATCATTTTTATCAGTGCTTAATTATCAGTTAGAGATTGTCATTAACTAGAGAGCAAAATCAACTCCATTCTGTTCACTTGCTAAGAGATCTTGTCTGAATGTCAAAAGTTGTCAGATCGTTGTGGAAGACTTCGTCTAAAAGGGTGATTTGAAGAGATGTTTAAGGATTTGTTATGAAACGATAACTCAGATTGATTTAAGAGTTGCATTCTCAAGAGGCTCCATAAAAAGGAATTGACAATTGATGTGTTGTTCGATATTGTGATGATTTTTAACTGCATTTGCTAAAGATAGCAGCGTGAATTGCATCTGCATATGACTTAATAGTAGCTTATCAGGAGGTAATCACAGACTGGTACAGAATTTCGTTATTAATTTGCTGTCCTTGTAAAGTCAGAGTGTGTTCAGTGCGAAATTTTTGATTTATTTTATGAGTTGATAATGTTTATAGTATGTTGTATCAGTAGAAAGTGAGTGCAAAAACTAAATTTACAACATTCACATGAACATTAAATTGATCATAAGTGTAAATTTAATGACAGTTCTGTAAGCGATAATATTTGAGTTTTATCAATGGAATGAGAAGCTTATGGTGTGGCTCTCATCAATGGCATCAGTTGAATAGTGCATTTCTGAGTTTTTTTGCACGTTTTTGCAATACAGTCAAGTGATGTGCTCATGTGATAAGCACTTTCGATGATGTGTCTCTGGAGAGTGAGCGTAATTAATCTTGGATCGGTTAGATCATGCACTCATGACAGGCAGAAGGTTGGCGGCTCATGAGAGCAATAAAGTTTACAGTGTGGCTTCCATCAATGACATCAGTTGAATAGCGCATTTCTGAGTGATAAATGTGCGGAATGTGATAAGAGTATAGGCCAGTAGTGCCTAGAGGAGGGCAAATTACCTCTGGCAGCAATTTAGGGACGTCGGGGAGCAATTTATTTTTAAAATTTCATGGAGTTGCTATGTTGTTGTGGAGCATTTGAGCGTCTAAATGCGGTTCGATCATGGCAACACTCTTCTTTTTCTTATTTTCATTAGCTCAACTAGGCCTAAACAAAAGTCAGTTTGAAGTAGTCACAAATATTTCATACGTTCTTTGATATATTGGCCGATATCGTCTCTCATGAACAATAGGAATTGATTTAGTTCTTTGGTGCGGCAAAAAAAATCAACGGTTTGGTGTGAGATATGCGAGTATTTCTGAAATTCATCCATTATTATTCATTTGCAGTGAGAAATTTTGATAGTTTCTTAATTACTGAATATAATGGGATTTTTGGGTCGTAAATGAATTTATTTGGACAGAGTAACTGCTCAGTTGTGTCATAGTTTACTGGTTTGTGACAAATGTGTATTACGCTGTGATGGATGTGTTCTAGGATTGTGGCCTTGTTTTCATAGTTGTTTGCATATTTATGAATTGTTTTCATATTTATGAATTACACACAATCACTCCTGATATGTGCTTGTGATTTCAAGATAGCCATAGGAAGTNTTTAAAATTTCATGGAGTTGCTATGTTGTTGTGGAGCACATTCTCAGTGTGTTTTTT